TTTTAATTATTTATAGAATATTATATTAAATATACTTCTTGTTTCAGTTTTTATGCTTTAAACAATTTTTTCGTCATATTTGACTCTTAAGTGTTCTGTACACTCTTGATATTGTTATTATTTAAATTAAGAGTTCTTTGTTCTCATAATAAAAATATGAGATTTTGAAAATAATTTCTTCTTTTCACGTTTTTATCCGATCCCTTTTCACTTATTGCAAAATATTTTTTGTGCTACGACATTTCTGACTTTCGAACTCAAAAATTCTTTTTTTTTTTAGTTTTAAAATGACAGATTTAAAAAAATAATAGTTAAAATCGATGCACTACAATCTGAGATACAAGTAAAAAAGAACATTGGGTTAGAAATATCCGGATGTGGGAAGATAAGAATTTTTTTGAAATATAATTATTAAACTTAAGAATGAATTTAAGGATAAATTAAAAATTTATCGAAAGTTTCTTAAAGTACAAACTTTATTCCTGAGAACGAAAAAAAGCTTTTAAAAAAATCATTTTTTACGGAATTATATTTACTTAAAGTTATGCAAAATTTTAAATTTTGATATAAAATGTTATGATAATTTACTTGATAAGTGTAATATTAATTTTATATTACTTTTATTTAAAGTTTACCTTTTTTATTATGTATATCTTAAATTAGTTATGAAAATATAATTTTTGTACATGGCCATTTACGTTCTATAGAACGTATATATAAAATGATATACAATATGTATATGCAATATATAATATTTAAAAAGTACCTGCAATGTATTTAGATTTTATTTATAAAATTAATTAATTTATATTTAGGTGTTTATAAAAAATATGTATATTTCTCTATATATCCGTATTTACTTATATTTTTCTTCAAATAACTATGATTACATCCAATCATTTAAAAAAATTATTTTCTTGCAACGCTTTATTACTAATGTAACACTATGTGTTATAATTACAGAAGAAAAACATAATAAAGCTAGTTCTGATTTTAATTCAATACTTAAAAATTATATGTGTCACAGAAATGTGCTTATGACTAAAAGTTCTGTTAATCTTCTTTTTTACAGATGGAACCCAGCGTTACTCAAGAAAAAAAATGGGAACGAACAGGCACAATCTATCAGGTATGATATAAAATTTTTTTACACACTTGTAAAAATAGAGATTACACATAATTCTTCTTTCGATTAATTGTTTCCCGTAAAAAAACGAAGTTTAATTGAATTTAATGTGTATATTATATCTTCATGGATGAAAGAGAGAAGAGACAGAGAGAGAGAGAGAGAGAGAGAGAGAGAGAGAGAGAGAGAGAGAGAGAGATAATATCACATATTACTTATTAAATCAGAAAGACATAAATTACTTCTAAAAATAACGAGCCTATTTTTCTGATATTATCAATCGCTGACGTACATTACTTCTCAAAATAACGAGTCTAATTTTCAGATATTATCAATTATTGCTTTATCAATCTATATCAAAAGCAAATATCTACTAAATATGATATTAACTATAATTAATTTAGTTTATAATTTGCTGCTGAATTAATTTATTCTTGCGCGGATAAGGTAATACTGAATACGCATTTAATATATTTTGATAATTGAAATATGATGATTTCGCAATAGATATGTCATTTTTTCTCTCTGTAATTTTTAAGATATTTATTGTGGTGACCCGAGAATTTGCGTACTGTTTGATTTTCTGTCGAATAATCTTGCAATTGAGAGATGTAGTGATAAAGATAAAATGTAAATTGAATGACGAAATAGAGAAACCAGATATGTAGTGCAACAGATTTCCTAGTCCATTCGATTCTATCAATAATAAGTTATGTAAATTGTTAGGAAATGTTTATGTAACTCATAAGCGACCGTTAATCACAAAAAAAGTTTGCAGATTTTATCATGTTAACCTTGTAGTAACAATCACACATTAGTTATAGATATACAGATAAAAACGACAACAAATATCTCGTTTCGTTCGAAAAAGACATCGCCTTTTTTGGTTCTAAATTGTGCTGTCATACATTATATTTGCATTTTCTTTTACAAACTCATAGAGCATATTTCTCGATTTTATATAAAATAGCGATCATTACTTTGTGCAAAATAGAAAAATTGTTTGATGCAAAAACTATTCTCTTCTATGTTTTATCACACAAAAATAGAAATTAAAATGTTTTAAAATCAGCGATATTTTTAAGATATTAGGTATTCCAGTTAGTTTTAAAGAATTTTTAGCCAAAAAAAACACATTTATTTTAGGGAGATATTAAATTATATTTTATTTAAAATATATTTTCCATCGCTAGCTACAACTTTTTCTCATTTATCTGGCAATAAACAGATTCCGCAATAAAAAAAGTATTCGTTCTTCGAAGCAATCTATTCATCGAGTTATTTTTTTATTTCATCATATCTTTTGTAGTGCTGGTCGTGCTGCATTGAAATAAATAATAATCTGAAGGAACACAGTCTAGTAAATATGCGGCATGTGGTAAAATTTTCCATTGAAATGCTGCTAACGTGTCTTTAATTGTTTTTGCAACGTGTTGAGCATTATCGCGCAACAAAATCTTAACGTTTTTTTGAGCTGTACGTTTCTGGTTCAAAGCATGACTTAAATTGATTAATTGTTGTTGATAACGCTCAGCAATAATTGTTTGATTTGGTTTTAGCAATAATTTTTTACGCTTAAAATTATCAAAGTAGATCCATTTTTCATCGCCGGTCACTATTTGATACAAAAACTGCTTCTTTTTGTGACAAGAAAGCAATATTAAATGATTTTGAATAGCCAATTTAGACAATTCATGCGGAACCTATTTTGCCTTTTTTTCTAAATCTTTTCCATTGCTTATAAACGATCAGAAATGGTTAATTTGTCAACATTTAATGCTTCAGCTAATTTTTCAAGCGTTTGAGTTGAGTTTTTATCCAACAATGCTTGCAATTTGGCATCTTCGAATTTTTTTGATCTGAACATTTTTTGTCTTTCAAAGTTACGAGGGATGCACTGAATATCCAAAAAGTATCAAAAGATACCCGGTATTATCCGGCACTTTTTTACCATCCGATCGGATAATTGAATATTATTAATATCCGGGAATATATCAAAATTTTATATTATTAAATTGTTGATTTTTATTATAACAAATGTTCTATAAATAAGTATGTATTCTCATAACTATAATATCTTATATATTGTTGCAAAATTACAATTTGATTCTCTACAGTTTTCAGTTTTTTTTTTTCTTAGAAAACCTTGTCTTGGATATCCAATCGGATATTTGACTCAAAAAATTGCTTTTCCGGATATCCAATGTTATATTCTTTTCAGATATTCCATATTCGGTATCCGGTAATTTTACGATCCAACGCATCCCTAAAAATCACTTTTAAATTGTTGATATCAGTACTCACATATTTTAATTAATGGAGCAGACTCAGAGTAAAACTGAAAACATAATGAAAAGTATAGGAAATAATAAATAAGAACAGGAAATAACAAATTTCAATCTATCAGAAACCATATACATACTAAAATGGAGGCTTTATGATAGATTGAAATCTCTTATTCTCTGTTCATATTGTTTGTGTTTTTCACTGTGTTTCCAACTTTAGTTTCTGAAATGAATTGGTGAGCTATGGTAACCGTTTTCTTCATATCAAAACAGTAAAGTAGATGACGAAAATATTCTTTATCACGTTTCATTTTCAATCGCATTAAAAAGTACGATTATGTTTATGCACAGAACGAATGCACAGAACCTGTGTCAAATTATTTGTAAAAATATCCAAGCTTTGAAATAACATACTCAATTTCAAAATATTTTTAATAAATCTGTAACTATAGCCATCTGTATAGTAAACCCTCAAAACTAACATCTAATATTTATTGTGATGATGATCAGTCTGAGAATTTACGCATTGTTTGATTTTCTGTAGAATGATTTTGGAACTTTATATAATACATTTCAATTTCCCACCATTTTTAATGAGATTTTTAATAAGATTTTCTTACGTAAAATTATTGGACAAGAAAGAAATATATTATGTATATATAGGGTGTCTTATTTTAAAGAATCTATGGAAATATTTTCGAAACACTGCGTTAAATCGAAAAATATTTTAGACAAAAGTTTTTTTACTTTGAAGGGGACATAAGATCATATCATTTGTTTTACATTGGGTAGTGTTGTCAAGGTCAAAGTAAGATCACTTTGAATTTTTTAAATAGACATCTTGGATAATGTTAATGCCGGCGATGCTGTAATTTTCAAGCCCTATAACTTGCAAAATACTTAATGAAAAATATTTTATTATAGTGTTTTGAAAAGCTCTCGAGGTAAGCTATAAGAATATGTAATAAAAATTAGAGATTCCATTTTAAAAATTCAAAGTGATTTTACCCTGACCTTGACAACGTCACTCAATGTCAAATAAATGATATCATCTTATGTGCTTCTCGAAGTCAAAAAATTTTCATCTGAAACATTTTTCAATTTAACGTAATGTTTCCGAGATATTTCCATGGATACTTTAAAATGAGATATCCTTACACACACACACACACACACGCGCGCGCGTGCGTGGTTGGCGAATTAATTGAATTTTGCTGTGAAATCGGCCGCCATCTTGGATACACCATTTCGAATTCAGAAAAAAGCCAGACAGCTTTTGAAAGTACAATAGATGTAGACGAACTTTAATTTGAGCAGACCTCATTTTTTTCAAAACTGTTCTGGGTAGAGTGGGT